AATTTAAGACACCTTTTACAAGGCTAGTGTAACAAAACATTATGTTATTTCTTTTGGAATTCGTATTATTTTATATTGTACGCCATTCTCGAACTCAAAACGGCGCACCACATATCCACTGTCGCGTCAAATCAATGGGTAGATTGTACGGAGTTGTAAGCGATTCGCTCATATGTAATATTACCAGTACGCGCGTACCTGCAGCAGTGTATTATGACTTCGTATTAATTATAATTGCCTCACCGGTATAAACAGCAACAACCGTCAATTACTATGTTTACTCTTATTGTTGTATGAATACATTTATGCACTCATCTCATCTCATCTCTTCTCTCCATGCGTTGCAGTTCTATCGTGTGCCGGGAAAACAATATATTGATAAATAACAATTTCTGTTTTTGCCACCGCGTCTGGACGAATTCCGCATCGGCGGCAGCTCAACCACGTTGCGTCACTTCGTGTTTTATTACCTACTTAAAACGTGCACAGGTAGAGATTCGTACTGCTATGTCAGCAATATTATTATTATTATTATTATTATACACACACGGCACGCATAAAGCTCTCCTGGCGTGTCGGTCTTGCAACCGCATTTACATATTGCAACCGTAGGCACGTTACATGGTGTTGTGTTCACCTGTCTGTACTCCTCTCCGGGAGCACGTTTGCGAAAACCTCTGCACGCGACCCGAAACTGAAAAATTGCCATTGCCTGAGTGACAAAACCATTAATGTTGTTTATAAATTACCCTGTATAGATTTACTCCCTCCATTGAATAGTGGAATAAATCAAACTTAAACCTTATAATATTTATACTACATCGCAATTTGTTGTATCATTTATAAAATAAATATTTTATATTTCATCCATAGGTCAGACATAGTGTTACAAAAATAGCAAGGGTAGGCCAAGTTGTGCATAGTACTTTAAGTATTTTTTTGAATTTTCTCCTCTTAGTTACCAGTAATAACCTGATATCCAGTGGCGTGCCCAAAAGGTAGTAAGCCCGGGCCGCCTACCCTGTTTTCAAATAGTTATTATTTATATTTTTACATCATTATTATTTAGTTTTTAATATCTTTAAATATTAACAAGTCAAACAAGAGGAATTATCTTACTAACTTAATTGTATTACTAATTTTTTCTAATTAAATTAAAAAAATGTTATGAAAAGTTGACGAAAAATAAATAAAATAACGTGTAGGTACCTATATAAATTAAATTAATTATAACTGGGTCTGTCCTACATTTTAATCCTGGGTACACTTCTGTCTATATCGTGTTTAGACTATGAGCTATAAAGAAGCCCATTGGATCGTCATCGTGTTCTTGCTGTTCGTGACCGTCATTTATAGAATTATACCTGTTGGTCTTTCGTACGACCGAAGACTATAAGTAATAGCAGCTCATACGATTGCCACTGGTGTTTCAGTACCAACATTATACTATACTTGCATTCTATGCATTATATGTTTTAGGTGCGACCTCACCTAATGTTTTTAAGTAAAAAATACTTAAAAAGTATATTACTTGGCTCACCGATAGCGCATATTTCGATAATAATTTTTTAACGTTTTTATGATTTTATTTAAGAAAAAATTCTTTGTCAAGTTAGTAAGAACTATAATTTATTATAATATATATTATTTCGTTTTTATTATCAAAAATAGCTATAAACCAATAAGAAATGCGTGAAATAATTATTACGTAAATAAACGATGGTGTTTCAACCAGCGGTAACGTTTCGATGACATCGATGAACACTATCCAATGTCGCCTCTGAAGTTTGTGTATATAAATTACACACACAAACGTATGTACGCAAAGGCACGCGATAGCGTAGAATTGCACATGCGCAATAATTATCGCGAGGCTTGATTATTATCGCCTATGTGTACTAAAAATAGATGCGGTATATTGGTATTATGGTCAGCCCACAGTTCAACGTAAAAAGAATGGGTGAAATTATCAGTAGTTATTGTTTCAGCCAGGAGTCAAAATAGCCCTAATTAAATCATTGTAAATTGTAATATTAATTTATATTTCTCATTTCTGTTTAGTTCAAATCGTCGTTGGATGTTGGACGTTGGTACACGTATATATACAATTATAATTATTTTTGTTTTTAAATTCCATTTACTGTAAATTTTAATTTGTTTTATGAAGGCGGGGGGGGGGGGAAGAATTAATACATAGGTTGCCTCACCAAAAAAATCCTACCAAAACCATCACTATAGAAAGATCATCGTGACGATATCTCGTAGGTGGCGTAATGCAAATTCCGCGTTTATTATCAATACTAATAATTGCACGTGTCGGTTTTTGTAATCATATTCATCATGGTCTTTGTTGTTGATGTTTTTATAGATTGGTAACAATAATATAATTCCTAAAGTTTATCATTTACGGTACAGTTGCTATTTATTTGGAAACAACATTCAACTGTTGTAAATTTTAAAACGATTTTTAATATAACTTAATTAGAAGATAGTTAATATATTATTGACAGTACTGACATTGATTTGTTTTTAATTAAAAGTTATATTTTTCAAACAATACATTATTGAGATACCGAGTAAAACTCCATAGTTTTATTATGTTACCTTTATCGTAGACACTTATATACACTTTATAGCCATAGGATCGTATATTAAAAAGTATTACATTTCATATCGCTGTAAAAATATAATAATAAATAATAAAAACGACATGATTGCTGTATCTAATGGTGTAAGATATGATTTACTAGATTTTATTTATATTTTTATAAGAATTTTATCCAACACCATGAGGTAGAAACAACATAGAGTATACTTTTATAACTACATAGCTTTTTATATTGTATTATACATATATTTGTATTTGTATTGCATTATTATGTTACATGATCATCGTGTAATATATTAAAATATATTATATATATTATAAAAATATCTTACATCCCTCATATAAAATTAGTTTTTTGCTGTTGTGAATTTTTGCTAAATAGGATTATTCATGGCGTTAAAATAATATAATTTAGTTATTTATTATATATGTATATTGATTAATAATAGTAATTTTGTGGCTTTTGTGTATTATATTTGGTTTTTAATACTTACTTGAATTGCATTAGTTCTTAGGTGAATATATGTAACATATTTTTATTTAACCATAATTATTAGTATGAACTAATTGTAATTTGATAGTTTTTAAATGCGAACATTGAAATTATTTTTTAAAAAAATAATTGTGTAATGCTTGTATTGAGTAAATCCTTATTGTTGATACGAACATGTACTTGTTGCTTAACTTTTTCTCTTGACCACAATTTTGTGTTTTATTTACAACACGTTAAAGAACGTTCAGATCATAGGTCAGATGTGGCACGTATCAATGTATCTAGCAACGAGTATATACTACTTAATTTTGTCGACATAATTTTGACCTTTTTTTCGCCTCTCTATGAACTAGAACCAAGAAAATCGTTTCAAAATCATTTAAAAAGCTATAATTTAATTTTTTATTTCTTTATTATTTTTGTCGGTCTATTATTCAACCCCATCCTATAAGGTCGTGTTTTGTCGCGGTCGTGCAAACCAGGGTCGTGACAGTGAAAGTATCTAAGACTGTATCATCATTAACTTATTACCCATAAAATTTAATTTGCAAAAAGTTCAAATTTGTACAATATTATCTGTTGAAATCTTTTTATTACAATACCGTAATTTTATCTGAGTAATAAAAATATTAAAAGTATATTTAGTCAATGTTACATCTTTTAATTTTGTTTTATTTTGTATTTTAATTTTATAACTAATGAATAATATTTATCTCAAAAAATAATATTTATTACCTTTACGTACAGAGATAGATCAATTAATTAAATTAATTTTGATATCAAATTTAAAAATTGTATTTAAGTGTTTGTAGTATGGACTACTGCCATCAAAAACTTTCCAGTGACTCATTACTCAGTGACTTATCACTCATGCAATGATCTCAAATCCTAAGAATAAAAAAGCTAAATTAATACGTCATCATGGCTGTGAAATTAATTTTTTTCCAGTCATTCGCATCATACTATACTAACATAAATAAATAAAATATAAAAAAATAATGGCAAGTGTATGCGAAATAATATAATTTATAATAAATTTTTATATTTATTTAAGTATTTTTTTTTTTAGTATTTATTATGTGTACAAAAGTAAAAAGTATTATAAAATAATTATTATTTAAATTCCATTCTTAAACGAGATTCCTGGGATTTTGTATCTTTTTATATTAATAAATTTATGTTTATTATTGTAAATGTGTATAATGTATAGTGACAGAATATGGTATGATACTTTATTAATATTTTTAGTTTACTGCGTTATATTTCATCCAGAACTTTTTTATTTGTTGTTCGAAATCATGTTAGTAGTTTTAACAATAAAATTAATGTAAAACTTTATTTTAGGCCTATGTATTGCGGTTTAGTTGCCTAGATACAATGCATTATAATTTCCAATAATAGTAATAATTATTATATTGAACGATGGGGCCAGAAGTTGTGTACTGTTATAGACTGTATAATCGTCTGTAGTACATTGAACTTGGATTATAACTCTCATAAGAAAACTTTAAAATATTAGTTAATTTTTTTCCACTGTTGTTTTAGAAATTTGTATTGAATTAATGTTCTAGTATATATTATTGACTGGAGATTTCGTACCGTCAATCCTACTAAATCTAATCTTGAAATAAAGTTCTATATAATCCATAATGAAAATTGCCGTTTAACTAACGAACACAACTAACATGCTTTTCTTGTTGGTTTATACTTTGAAGTTAGTCGAGCTATCCTCTTAAGAATATTTATATATTTTTTAAATGTATTACCTATTATATTATAAAATAATGATTTCTCAATATTGAAATTAATACGAATATAATGTGATCACTTTTATTTGTTAGTAGTCAAATTAAAATTTATCTAGATTTTATTTGTATTTTTTTATTTATTTTTTTATAGGATTCCGGAGCTGGTAGTTCATTAGATGAAGATGAACCCATCAAAACAAATCGCAGGTAAGAAATATACGTAATTCGCATACGGTTGATAGTACGCACTTCTATGTTTATGTTTTATATTTACATATTATGTTTGAAAGGAGTTTTGCCAAAATTGTTTGTTGACAAATGTCAGCATAATATAACCTACGGATATATAACTTCTATAATGAGAAGTGTATGCGATAAGTATTTGCTACAGTTTCATCGATTTTCTAAACAACTCAAGGATACTGCAGCCTACGCCTTGCACCAAAAATAAATCTTAGACTTTCACCCAAAACTGCTATTACTACGTTCTGTCTTTATTATACTCAACAAATTTAGAACGGAACTAATCGCAATGGTCGTTTTTTCCCGACAATTGTGCTTTTTACTTCTAAAGACCTTGAGTGCGTTGTAACAGAATGTCTATTGTATTATACCCGTTTTTCTTTATCATTAGTTAAGATATAGCCATAATTTTAGAATAAATATGGTTTTCTTCGAGTATACGAGTACTTTTTTATTCACTTCGAGTATCATTCATCTCGCACTTGATGTTTCCAAAGTTCGTAGCGTTTTGGCATATGGCATCTATACTTGGCAACTAAACTCAAGTTTCATTCTGATTGGGCAAATAATCGTTGTCTCTTCTTTGCTGCCAATATACTTAAAATTAAACTGCCCCACGATTAATTTCGTCCGCTCCACGCTAAAGCATCCCACCCAAAGCCGGATTAAGGGGGGGGGTATAGCCGGGGCGGTAATCCTGGGCCCCTCTCGAATACCCAAGTAAAAAGGTCCAAACAATTTTAAGTCGATACACATTTTTTACCATAGTAAAATTAGTAGTTTTATAGACATAAATTGTATATACCTATTAATTTTATTATTTTATAATGCAATTGACAATTTGTGAAATAGTTAAAAAAAAGTATCATTCTGCGAGCGTAGCAAACAGCTTGTAAAGCATGTTTTGTCAAAAGGGCCCATATAAAATTTCAGCTCCGGGGCCAAATAGTGGCTTAATCCGGCCATGGTCCCACCATTGTCTCTTCCAGAAATAATACTAACTATTGCTTTATCGCCTTTCTGCTAATGTTTTTATAGGTCTCATTTTTAGTTGCATTTTTCAGTATTTTCTTGTTTTTCTTTTCTGTACAAAATATCAATCTCTATTCCATTTTTTTTATTTTCAAACCTTCCTACCTCCTAAATTCTTAACCGACCTTTTCATTGAATCTAATATTACATCTCTTTAACTATGCTTAATTTTTAAGATTTAAATATCTATTTTAATTTATTTAATTTATATTATTCTAAAAAGAAATATACTGCATATTTAAAACGCTGTATCACACATATAAATCAAATAATTATAAAAATTAAAGTTGTAAAACGTAGTTCTGAAATAAATTTAAAAGTTTTAAAATGTAAAATAGTCAATATCTGTCGTTAATATTGAATAATATTAAGAAAAAATTATTCTTATTCTAATAATCCGCAATACACTCACATATGGCTTGTATACAAAATCATAACAGTTATTGTAGAAATCTATACGCATTTTATAATTTTATATTATTATATTATTATTATTATTATTATTATTATTATTATTATTATTATTATTA